AAGAAGTTACAAGCAAGGAGCATTTATGTACAAACTGCAGTATTTCTTTAGGCGAAAAGGTCTTCTCATCTATTATCTAGAGTATGCAAGTTTTATAACAAGAAGTAGTTTGCTATTGTATATAACTACAAATGAGAGGTGATAATACAATGGTTGATTTGGAAGTGTTTTCATGTTCATATTTGTTTGGTTTTTTTTTTTCTCCCCGCTAACTCTTAATACTTCAAGTGTGATGGAAGAAGTTGCACAGACTCATGAGAGGAAGAAATCTTTCTCATTTCACAGCTATTCACTGGGTGTAAATTTTGATCCAGAGGAAATGTAATTAGCTCCACCAGAAATATGACTGATGAATGGCTTTAGCTAATGACCTGGAAGTGGAATAGTAAGGTAGTGGTGGCCCCCATGGCGGGAACTAGGTTTTTTCAGAGCCCCAAATTCTGGCTCTGGCCCTGTCTACTGAAAAGGTGCTGAATCCATGGCACCCAGCTTCCGAATTTGAAGATTCTTCCCGTACAAGTAATTCCAGGCTCCCTCAGAGTACATGCTTTATGTGATGGTAGCAGTTTTGCCTTTGATTAGCTGACTCGTAAAAACTGATAGATATTGCCACATTATTACACAGCCCCACAGTTGGGCATGCTTCTATTTAAGTTCAAAGCAAAAGGTGCTGAGTGCTGAATCCATGGCACCCGAATTCGAAGATGAAGGATTCTTCCCGTACAAGTAATTCCAGGCTCCCTCAGAGTACATGCTTTATGTGATGGTAGCAGTTTTGCCTTTGATTAGCTGACTCGTAAAAACTGATAGATATTGCCACATTATTACACAGCCCCACAGTTGGGCATGCTTCTATTTAAGTTCAAAGCATTTTGCAGCTTGATATAATGCATGTAAATGATGCTCAGCAAATAGAGAGGTAAAACTTAGTGGCTGTCTCCTTTGTGCATCCGTTTTCAATAATTAATTTGGTATCCTATGACTTCTAATTGGGAGAGTGGTGATGCTAGTTTTACAACTCTTAAATTCAGTATGATCAGAACAAAAGCTTTTGTGTTCCTAAATGCGAGAATAGTAAAGCTGATCCTGATTATACCAATATGAAATAAGCTTCAGTGATGTAAAATGTAATGATAACCGTTAGGTCTTTATACCAGTTTTTACTATCAGGAGCACAGACAGCTTATAGACTTTAAGGAATCGCTCTATGGTATCTCTCTGACTACCAAGGTGGTTTCCCTTTTCAAAGGAAATTAGAGCTCAAAGTAAATATAATTGAAGAAGTGTCTTCTTGGGCTAGAAACTGTAGTATCATTAATGTTTGCATAGAACCAGGAAAGTGTGCGAACAAACTTTTTCTTAAGGTCAGTGCTTTTGCTCCTGGATGCAGGTGTGTGTTTGGTTGTTTTCAGTGTGTATGAAACCGTGCCTGCAGATCCTGTGGAGTTGCATTCACATGTCACTGTAAATACAGAATTAGAATTGGAGTCAGGTAGGTCAGAAGGGCACTCCAGAGACTCTCTATTCCAGTCTCCCGTTTGAAGCAGGTTCTGTTAGAAGAGGTTGCTCAGGGCCTTGTCCAGGCAAGGCTTAAACATCTTCAAGTATGGGAGCTCCACAACTTCTCTGGACAACCCATTGCCGGGTTTGACCACCCTCTTGGTGTTTTTTTCCTTTTTTTTCTTTCCTTTTTAGCAGGTCTGAATTTCTTGTTTTCCAGCTTGTGACTGTTGCTTCTTGTTCTTCCACAAGATTCAGGCTCCATCTTTTTCATAGCTCCCACTAGGTAGGTGCCCACTTAACCTCTTCTAAAGGCTGAAGAAACTCAGCTCTCTGTATGCTATGTGCTCCAGTCCCCTGCTCATATTAGTGGCCCTCCACCAGACTCACCCAGGATGTCAGTGTCTTGTACTGGGGAGCCCAAACTGGACACATACTGCAGATCTGGTCTCACCAGTGCTAAATAGAGGGAAATCATCACTTCCCTGGACCTGCTGTCTGTGATGTTGCTAATAATGCCCAGTATGGGGTTGGCTTTCTTCACCTCAAGTGCACACTTCTGACTTATGTTCAACTTGTTTTCCACCGGTACCACAGGTGTTGCTCTGCAGAGCTGTTTCGTAGCCAGTTGGCCTCCAGCCTGTACTGTTGCATGGGGATATTCCATTGCAGGTGCAGGACTTTGCATTTGTGTTGGAGGAAGTTCCCGTCAGCCCATTTTTTCCGGCCTGTCAAGGCACTTAAGAGGAACAGCCCCACCATCTGGTCTATCAGCTGGTCCCCCCAAGCTGCTGTTTTCCAGACTCTCAGGGAGTGTACTCTAGCCCATCATTCAAGTTGTTAAATTAAATTACTCCATTATTCTCTGCAAATTATAGATGCGGAATATCTTTCTCTCTCTCTGAAAGCTGGTGCATAGAAGTCTCAGTTGTTCTGTGACCTTCTGGATCAACGTAGATGCTTTCCTTACTCCCTGCTGCTTCAGCAAGTCCAGTGATCCCCTTGCAAGGAGTGTTGCTGGAAATAGTTTCTTGCTCTGTGAATGGCATTGAATTTTATCCATTCAAAACACAATGAAGAGTTTTGCAACGTTTCAGAAGAGAGAAACCCAAACTAAACATGGGTGGCAGCATTTGAGCAGGTGTGCAAAGAGGGCGAGCAGGCTGCAGCCTGGTGCTGAGGCATGCGTCTGTCGGCACTGGGAGCGCGGCCTCACCAGCCAAGTGCCAACGCCTGGATCAGCAGCTGAGATCCTGGCAAAACCAGCATCACAGTAAGCCTAAGTTTCAGACTGTTATTCGAGGGAGGTGTGTGTGAGCATGTATGGCCATCAGTAGGCCAGGGAAAGTTAAGGGTTGCCAATGGATCAATAGTGTATGCCCTAAGATACCTACTGAAAACATACAAACTTCCAGTGTATCTGATGAGAAATTGTATTTTTCAGACCATTTTTGTCTGCCTTCCAATGAGCCAGTGGAGTTATTTTTTTTTTCTCTCTGGTATTATTGTTAGTGTGTGAACTTTCTACTCATCTATTTGTGCTTCTTGTTATAACATTCAGATCTATTCTCTCTAACTGTGGGACACTTCGTTATTTTAGTCATTTGGTGCAGTAATTTGTTATTAATTATGCTTTCACAGTTGAGCAATCATGTTACTTTATTTCATTTATTCTTCGCCAGCATATAAATGGATTACTTGTAATGAGACAGCTATGGGCTGCTACTGAATGTGGATTTTGCAGCTTCAGCCTGAGAAGGATAATTCCCCCAATGCACTCAGCCTTTGAAAAGGGATCACCATGAGAGGTTTCAGGAAACCACAGATCTTTTCATTGCCTGCTAGAAAAAGAAAACATATGTGAGGCTGTGGAAAATGGCATTGATTATTTTAGGAATTAACACTGCACAGAAAGGAGACAGAAACTGCCAATGTAAAGAAGCTGCACGATTTCTGATGGGCTGCTTTTCATGCAGCTTTCTCCATCTGTGCTCAAGGACTCCTCAGAGGTACCTGCAGAGACCTGGGCAGTGTCCCCTTCCATGTGTGGCCTCCAGTTGCTTCTCTACTGTGGTGTCTTACAGCAGCAAGATGATGACCCACAGAAACTCACTGGTCCTTGGGCTTCTCCATCTCTCTTTTATCTGCTTTTGTGCTTGTTCTGTCAGTGCTCTGGAAGAGAAATAATCTTGACAAGTTTGTGGGCTGCTTGGCGCGTTATGCATAAAGATTGCGAGTCCTACAGTAAAGCCAATAGAAATAATTAGCAGTACGTCTCTCTTTGAGCTCACATTTTCCCTTAAGCAGGTCTGTTCCTTTGGCTGCGTGGTAGCAGTGATATTGATGCAAGGTCAGCCGCCACAGAGCTCCCAGCTCTGCTTCATCAGCTCATTGCTGGGTTTTGGCAAGGCAACGCGCTCCCTCCACACCTGCGCGGTGCAGGCTCTGACCGAGGAGAGGGAACCATTGCACTACAAAGAGCCGTGACCCATTTTCGGATTATGCAAGTCTCCAAGGCCCTTTTAATTCAGTGAGATGAATTCCCTTTTAGAAGGTGCTGAGGACAAACAAAACACTTTATTGGGGGCAGGTTTGGGGAACACCAGCAGTCAGTGAGCTAGGCCTGGATTTTATGTTACGCTGTTAAAAGATTCGGTGATAAAAGTAAATTAAAGGAAATAAATGCATAGCATTTTTGTGGGAATAGTCCTAGGCATTTATGTTTGATATTTCTTGAATATGTTTTGCACTGGATTAAGATCTGGCTTTCCTTTCATGCTTTTGCAGTGCAGGTACCATGTACTGCAAGAAGCAGATAGCTGAGTTCTGCTCGAGTGCTTGTTCCTAGCCATGAATTAGTGAGGATCAAACTCAGGTCTGACAGCCTGGAGTTATTACAGAAAAGCTGGATAATGTTTCAGCCATCTTCAGAAGATTGTCTGATACCCTCTATTTAAAACTGGTGCTTTGTGTTTTTGAAGAATGCATGGCGTTTTTGTTTTCTGTATCATAAAGATGCTCAGTCACACCGTTGAGTCACAGTGCAGCTTTTTTCACGAGTCTGTTCCTTCCATAGAAGTGCACACAACTCCCAGCAGCGGGAGTGGGAATTGTCCTGCATGCCATTAGGCTCAGGGATACCAGAAGGTGCTCCCAAGTACAGAGCTGGTGCGACATCCTTGAAAGGGTTACTCTGCATTTCCCTGCAGTCAGACTCTGGTCCCTGTGCCTGAAGTCTGCAGTGTAGGTGCGCCCTCAGGGTACAAACTGTTCAAGCACGGCAAATAATTTTTTTGTTTGCCTGTTGTAAATTCATATCAGGTATCTTTGTCTCTCTTGAAATGAGTGCTTCACTTCCAAGACTAAGGTTACTCTTCCCTTGCGCAGCTGCTTCAAATGGTTGCTGCATATTTTCTAATCTGAAGTGAATTCCTGTGACTCTCAGAGATATTTATTCTGTAATTAAATAATCATGCTTTTTCTTTTTTAAATTTGTCTTTTTACAGTTGTTCAGTGAAAAAATAAGTGGAGCAGAAGGAACAAAGTTAGATGAAGAATTTCAAGAGATGGAAAGGGTAAGGAAAGCAACATGGTTTTCAATATGCAGCTATTGCAGAATCAAAAATGTTTCACGTTTCAAGTGATAGAATGGTATTGTAGACTTATTCCCCCCATGCTTCCAAACAGAATTATATAAGGATAAGTGCAAATTTATCCTTGAGCCTTGTCAGCTCAGCCCAGGGAGGAGAGACATCCACAAAGGCTGAGCAGAGGAAGCAGGTTCTCCTGAGAGAGGAGAGGTGTAGAGCATCAGGAGGGGCCTTTCTTCTCTGTGGGAGATTAGAGAGAGAAATCTTCAGTGTTTAGTGAGCCTTTGTAAATATCATGAAGCCTTCCCGTCTGATATTATTCATGATAAATATCTAACTACTAGGGTCAAAATTTCTCTTGATACAGAATTAGATTTCTTCGCTTAAATCCATATTCAGAACTTTACATGAATTGTTGTGGAAATGGAGATGTTTGCTATCCACTTATTAGCTGTTGTGTTGCAAAGTAAACAATTTTACTGCCAGTATCTGCTTTCTCAGCTTTTATGTGCTTTTTTTTTTTATTGCCCTTGTCTTCCTGTGTAGTTTTTAATATTCATAGTAGACCTAGGTCACAGCTTTTATTGTTATCAGATTGAGGAAAATAATCTTGTGTGAGTTGATTGGTTTTTATTTTTTTCCAACATGCACCTTTGAATTTATGGTTCTAGGTTTCAGTTTCTTCGGCTACAGAATAATTAATTTCCCTTCTTTGCATTATAAGAGGAAAAATAATATGCAGGCCCTAAGGGAGGAAAAGGGAAACATACCAGAAATGTGACTTTTATAGCATTTTAGAAACTGTTAAATGGGAAGATAGTGCAAACTACTGCTTTAAATGGCCCTGACCCCAAGATTGTGAGGGGTATGTTCAATCTTTTTCACCTGTGGAGAAAAGCAGTCTTAGTAACAACTGTTGGGCTGGCCGGAACATTGTAGTCTAGAATATGTAAGCAATAGTCAAGACTGATGGGCTAGAAAGGCAAGCCCACATTTTAATGTAAACCTTCTCTCCTTCCCAGTACTACCTGCCAATTAATATGGTTTTGGTAAAATCCTGTCATAACTATAACATGGCTATTTATTTTAAGTTCCAATATTTGCTTTATTTTAAATAAAGTTTCATGATCAGCTAGAGTAGTATATTATGTCTAATAAGATGATAAACTTTCTAGAAGTTGATTTGCTTTTTGCTAATTGTGTTACTCTTCTTTTTCAGAAAATTGATGTTACTAATAAAGCTGTAGCGGAGCTCCTATCCAAATCCACAGAGTATCTTCAGCCCAATCCAGGTAAGATAGAAACAATAGCTGTTGGATTTTGCTGAACATTGTCTTCTTACCTGGAAATTCATCCTAGGTAAAAAAAAACTAATTAGGTCATTATTGTGAAGGTTATGTGGGTGTCCTAGAGAACTTTACTTGTGTGTGCAATGAGCAACTGTAAAGTTTATATCCCTAAGTCTGGTCTGGGATGCATTCAACTTGCAGCACACAGTGCATCTGGTTTACTGGGCATGCGTGGGTTGTGCATGCATGACATGTCTTGGACAGCTTGGTCCCTTGTTACCGCGTGTGTGTTCATATTTGTGCTGGATGTGCTGGATTTGCTGGAGCGGTGTCGTGGTTTAACCCAGCTGGCAACTAAGCACCATGCAGCCACTCGCTCGATACCTCCACAATGGGATGGGAGAAAGAATCGGAAAAGTAAAATTGAGAAAACTTGTGGGTTGAAATAAAGTCAGTTTAATAGGGAAAGCAAAAGCCACACACACAAGCAAAGCAAAGCAAGGAATTCATTCACTACTTCCCATGGGCAGGCAGGTGCTCAGCCGTCCCCAGGAAAGCAGGGCTCCATGACGCATAATGGTTACTTGGGAACACAAACACCATCTCTCTGGATGTCCCCCCTTCCTTCTTCTTCCCCCAGTTTATATACTGAGCATGACATCATATGGTATGGAATAGCCCTTTGGTCAGCTGGGGTCAGCTGTCCCGGCTGTGTCCCCTCCCAGCTTCTTGTGCACCTGGCAGAGCTGAGAGCTGAGAAGTCCTTGGCCAGTCTTAAGCACTACCCAGCGACAACTAAAACACCAGTGTGTTGTCAACGTTCTTCTAGTACTAAATACAAAACACAGCACAATGCCAGCTACTAGGAAGAAAATTAACTCTGTCCCAGCCAAAACCAGGACAAGTGGGATACAGATCCCTAAAGTGCAGAGAATGCCAACATGTTTTTAGCAGAGGTGTAAAAAGCCATTGAATTTAACTCAGATGCTCCTGCCATCAGAGGTACTGGTGGTTATATAGTCACAGGGAAGAGGGCTGTTGCTTGCTTACCCAGTATTTGAGTGAGGTTTTGTATTTTCTGGACAAATTTTCAAATGTTCTTTTAAGAAACAAGAAAGGAGACATGTTTACATTTGCAGTGAGTCACAAAGTTTATCTGTTACGACCTTCATTCACTGTCCAAACCAGCTGTTGGAAGAACCTTCATTTTTTCAGAACTGTTTGACTGAATTTCTGTTTAGTCAGCTGTACCAGTGACTTGAGAGATAGCTGTCTCTTCTGGGTACCTTATAAGATGCACGTCCCTGAAGAGGTTTAATGGTTTATGTCTAGATAAGGATGGTAGGATTCAGTCCTTTACCAAGGCCCAGCTGGGATGTTTAACATGAAGCTTGTCACCTTTAAAAAAAGGAATGCCTTGCCCATGGCCATTACTGTGTTGAAGAACAGTGACAATAGCAAGGACTAGATTGGAAGAACTCTCCAAGAATAGATGCATGTTTTTGTCATCATATGAGCAGGATAACAATAAATTGATTTGTATGTACCAGGGCATTCTACTCTCTTCACTACTGGAAGCAAAAAAAAAAAGGGAGCAGGGGAAAGTTCTGCAAAGTTAAGAGAGAGAGACCATGAAACGGGCTTTGGCTGTCCTTGTATCTGTTCTATTTGCTTTCTGCAATACTTCTAATCAAGGAGTTCACAAGCAGGAATATTCCAAGGAATGTGAGTATTGGTGAATATCCACAGAAGGTGACACACACTATGTATCTGCCTGGAGAAATGATGTTCATTCAGTTGGGAATAAAAATCAGTTTCATATGACCCATATTGTTGAATGGAATCTTCAACTTTTGACTATGAAGTACTGACAACAAAAAACTTATGAATCTGCAGACCAGCATAGTGACTTGCTTTGTGACATTGTTTGTTAAATGATTTATTGCTTTAAATACATTAAAGTGTTTGTATAACTCTTGGTTTTTTTTATGTGCTTCTTAGCATACAGAGCCAAGCTGGGAATGCTGAACACTATGTCAAAGATCAGAGGACAAGTTAAAACCACAGGCTATCCCCAGACAGAGGGACTCCTAGGAGACTGCATGATACGGTATGGCAGAGAGCTTGGCGATGATTCTATGTTTGGTGAGTTTGTGTATCTCCTCTGTGAATATTTCAGCATAAAGTTCTTTGCAGAATATTACACAGTGACATAACCTATGCAAATAACTACTGCAGGTAAGAGGGAAAGTTAAGTGCAATGATCAGGAGGTGGGTGATACAATTAACAAAACATGATGCTTCTGCTTATTTGTCCACCTCTATTGCAGGTGGATTTGATATCACTGTTACTGATGCTGTCTGATGATTCACTTTATTACCATAACCATTTTAGTCTCTAAGTTCCTAGACCTAATTATTTTAGGGTGATTCTTAGATGCACTGTATTTTCTTAACCTTTAAATGAAAATGGTTACCCTGTATTTGAGAAGTAAACTCAGGGGAAAATTCTCATGGAAACAAGTAAACTGTAACTTGGGGTGATTTTATTTTTTTTTTTTTTTAATGATTTGGTATTTTGATGCTTTGGAGCAGTGCATCTTAAATATGCATTTTCTTGTTTTCATGAAAATTATCTCTAGCTTGGCCATGCTACAATTCTTTGGTAAATAGAATCTTACCTCTTTCCACTCAAAATATGCTGGCACTTCACAGCCAAAATCTTGATAGAGGCCTTGCTTGCTGAGCATACATAGTGTGTGGGCTTGACTGGAATGAATTTGAAGCATTGTCACAGAGCTACTCAGTGGGTGCTTTTTGATATGGCTGGGATGAAAAGAGAACCAGGGGAAAATATCTGAGAAAAGGAGAATCCTGGTTTGGGGAAGGAGAGGGGACTAGGGCTTGGAGAGAATGGTATGGGCTGGGGGACTGCATGCAGAAGCCAGTGCACAACTGGCTGGCTTAGGTACTGCTCTTAATATCTGCAATTTTATTTGCACAGTGGTTGTCTTGAAATAGTAACAGCTATGTAGGCATAGGGACCTCGCACTTGAGCCCAAGTAGGTGCTGCATAGGGAAAGGTGCTGTTGATAACCAAAGACCCTTTTATTCTCCTCATGAAGAATGAAGTGGCACAACTCACCTGTGAGATGGATGGATCAACAACAGGGATACTAAATAGAACTAGGAAAGGGGAAAGGACATTTCAAACACTGTTCTGCCTGCTGATACTTACATGCTTAATAAAGTATACAGCTATGTTAAGTAGGTAGTTTTAAAGAAGTAGAAACAATTTTGACCAAAAGGAAGTTTGGGAAAAAAATACACTGTATATGAGGAAGCTGTAAAACATGATTTTGTGATTAAAAAATTACTCACGTTTTGCATATTTAATATCATCACTAAAATTGTACAAATTAATCAGTTTGGTCTGCAGTTCTCAAAGTGGAGGAGGTTTTTAACCTATGCAAATACAGTAGGGAAAGTAGTAGATTAATTCTCTCGCCGAGGATTGGCAATAGCAGTTTTCTAGGGCATCAGGTTAAAAAACAAAGTATACTTCAGAACAAAAATTTTCCAGTTCTAGTTTTCTGTAGGGGACAAGCATATGCATAGCTTGCATTGTTTTTTCACTCTTCAAGGGCCTGCAGCAGATAAAAGATACCTATTTGAAATAGCTGTTTTGTAAGATGAATCTTCTGGTTTTATGTATGTTGAGATATAAGTAGCCTATTCTTTGTCATAGGCCTTGCACTACTGGATGCTGGTGAGAGCATGAAGCAAATGGCAGAGGTGAAGGACTCACTTGATATTAATGTCAAACAAAATTTTATTGATCCTCTACAGTTATTGCAGGACAAAGATTTAAAAGAGATTGGGGTAAGTTTTCCAGAGTAAACCTTCACTTGCCAATAATCAAAGTCAATCAAACTCTAGTTCCCTGAGATATTTTTCTTGACAGCAGTAAGGTAAATAAATTTCACTGAATTTAAGTTTCTGTCTCTAGCAAAACAGTGATGAAATCTGCTTAAAATCAATGCCTGGTTATTTTCCACTTGTCTAATTTACTCAATTTGCTACATTGCTTGTACATTCAGTACAAGAAGGACTGTGAAGAAAACGATATTCTTTATTTTTCTGCTATTTGATTTTATTAATTCTTATGAACATGTGAGTGGGCTGTGATTTACTGTGACTGATTATCCTATCTTGCCATCAGTGTCAGCCTAAAGCTGTTTATAATGGAGGATGAATATAATTGTTGAAAAAAGCTATTCAGGGCAATCACAGAATGATCTGAAAAGTGCCATAAAATGTTGGAAGCGCTGTATGCCACTATAGGAAAAATACAGGAAACTGAGGAACACATTTTTAACCTTTAGAGTTAAGTTTTTCAGTGCTTTTGTTTACAATGTGACAATTCAAAGAAAGCCAGGCAGTCTCTGTCTAAGTCTGTTGATTCCGAAAGACGTGGTTAATAAGCGAGTTAAAACCCCGATGAAATGCAGAAAGTTATTTTATTTGTTTACTCATAAGTGGATGTGGAAAGCATAACAAAAAGATAGTAATAACATCTTGAAGTCTGTAGCTGTCTCCTATGATACATAACTGTTTTCAGTTGTAGTTCTGAACTGATGAAAAGAAGTTGTTTGATGTTAGCTTTAATAAGCATTTTGTACTGTCACTTTGAGTCCATTCTGTAAGTCTCAGTCCCATGATTTTTTGGCAACAGAAAAGCTTGTGTAGTTATATCAGATAGAAGTGTCAAGTTGACACCTAACAAAGAAAGTAAGAATACAAGATTTGTTGGGGCACTGCTTATGGAATGAGAGGGGAAAATAACCCTTTAACTTTTAGTTGTTGTACTGCAAATAATTCAAGGGGTAAAATTGAATCAAATGGTGAGTATGGGGACATACACATATTTAGATTGGATCCTGCTTCTCATTTAGACAACCTGAAGTGTTGCACATTTAGTGAAGTCCATGAGTTGGATGTCTAAGTTTAGCAAACCAAGGTAGCCAATTCCCCAAGTGTTAACAAATGGCTGTTTATTTAAACGCTATACAGTTGAAAATTTCGTTCATGTGTACAGTCCTAGACTTACCTGATGCTGCTGTAGATCAAAAGGATGGACTGGACAATCTCTGAGCCTTGTATTTCTTCGATTCTGCGTATTTCTATATTTGCATCCATAATGGAAATTTCCTTAAATCACAATGTGTTTGTTTGGACCTCCTTATAAATGTTCTGTCTTATTTAGCATCATTTGAAGAAACTAGAAGGACGCCGTTTGGATTATGATTATAAAAAGAAGCGTCTTGGAAAGATACCAGATGAAGAAGTTAAACAAGCAGTAGAAAAATTTGAAGAGTCAAAGGAACTGGCTGAAAGAAGCATGTTCAATTTCTTAGAAAATGATGTAAGTCTGTCCTGCTTTTTTTTTTTTTTTTTTTTTTCTTTTTTGCTGCAGTATATCCAGGAGGGCAATGTCTGTGGGATTGGATAAAGCCTGTCCCATCCTTCACAGGAGGTAATGGGTGGAAGCAGAAAGTGTGCCTCTTTCCTCTTGTAATCTCCTGTGAGAGAGGAACATAATGCACAGCAGTAAATGGGAGAACTCAAGAATTCCGGAATTTCTTCTGGAGATACAGTGGCTCAGATAAAATTGTCGCAGAGGTCTTAAGTAGTTTTGTAATCTATGGGCAATGAACTATCTGAGAGTAGAATGCGGTTTGATCAGTGGGAGGGGGAAGGTTGGGAGATCAACAGTCACAGACCAGCTGCTGAAACTATGAGCAAGGGTATGTACCCTGTGCTTTCTGAATTGTAGCTCACTTATAGTCAAAACTCTGCTGCAGATTTGAAGTCTCCGGATGATTTTATCTCTGAAAATCATTATTATTACTATTTGGCTCTGAAAATTACTCCGTAGAGTTTGTTTGTGGCTTGGCCTCAGGTACCTGGACTTTGGCTCAGAGTCCCCAGTCAGTCATGAAATTATTTCTAAATAAGGAGCAGCTGTGGTCATTCAGAATAATCCTCTCTTCTGTCCATACACAGGGGAATAGCAGGATGTGCTTTCTCCCATGTAATCATGGAATTGTAGGAAAAGAGAACTGGACCTGTTTGGACCTATTCCAAAGCTTTCTCTTCTCCTGTAGATGCGGCATCACAGAAAACACACTTAGAAAGGAGGGAGTGTGCTGCCTGCTGCGAGCAAACTGCAAGAGAGAGAAGCTGTTAAGTGGGAATATTTAACTGCAGGCAACTTCTCCCTCTATGCACACCCGTGTAATGGCCAGTTATAAACTATCCTGTAGCTCTTAAACTGGTTGTGAGTGGGACACATTTGTTACAGCAGTGTGTAAGTTAGTAAGCCTCTTGCTGTTTTACCAGTGCAAGTTATATAATGGGAACCAAAAACTGCAACGTCCTCTATCAACAATTTCAGTACACTTTTCTGCTGAAGTCTCTACCAACTGCCTGGTTGCAGTGTATGTGTTTTGTAATTCTGCCTTGCACAAGCAGCTGAGAAATGTTTCAGATGGTGTTTATCACTAGTCAGAGCACCAAATCAAGGATAAAACAGCGCATGGATTAAAATGATTTAGCTGAGCCACTAGAGAACTGATGAGTTATACTTTCTAGTATAACTAATTCTGCCTTTCAGAGGGGGCGAACTGGATGTCCCTTTGAAGTTTTTTCTATATCCACTTTCTATTGTTTCTGTTTAAAGAAAACTCTCTGTTCCTTCCCTTCCACTCTCCATGCTGACCCAGTCTGTCTGTCCTTCTCAAACTTCTCATTACAGCCTTGTTGTCTAACCCCAGTCTGTCTTGCTGGGTTTGCAGAGATCTTAACTGCAGTCACTTCCTTCCCATCCTTTCCAATTTCCCACGTCTCCCTTTCTTGGTCTCCTTGCCCTGCAATCTCTGTTGTCTGAGCTCTGGTTCACAGCCATTTTGCCGGGTGCCTTTCCCAGACTTGGTCCTGATCCACATCTCTTGCTCAGGTTTTTGCACAGCTAGTTCCAGGCCTCCCACATAGACACTGTTGAACACAATTCTTATCAGATCCATCTTCCTGCATTTCCCACTCAGCCAGCCCCAGGCTCCTCTTGCTTAAGTGGCTTTTAGTCCCTCAGGTTTCTCTGTCTTTTCTCCTAATCCACAATTCCATATCCTTCCTGGCTCTTAAGCATCTTGTTTGGACAGTCTGTGTCTATCCATTTTCTCTGACCACTGCATCCAAACCCCAGGCACTTTATGCTCTGTCCTCAGCTGGTTTACATTACTCTCCTTTGACTGCAGTGGAATTGTACCAGCTGTTGATTTGGTTCTGTGCATTTCATTTTTGTATGCTATGTGACAATGCTTGGCTTTCCTGAAGTCCCAGCAGAATTTCTAATAATCTTTTTAACCGAGTAAAACCAAAGCATAGCACAAAATTGCCATGGGTCCATAAAACATTTGCAGAAGGTTTACTCTGATACCTTCTCGTGATCCAGTGTCTGAAGACATCATGATGGAATGGAAACATGTCAGACTTCTTGGGGCCTGTCCTCTTAATGCTGTCCTAAAGGAAAAGTACCAATAAGTATGTTACTGCTCCATCCCCAGTACAGCTTGAACTTTTCAGTTTGTGTTAGGGGAATAAGATTATTTGTTACCTCATGAATACAAATATTTTGATTTTTCTTTCTCCTTCACAGTCTCCCTCTCCTCAGCATTCATATTTTTGAGTGACTGATACTTTTAAAACCCAAGTAGATAAATCATTTTTCACTTATTGGTTTATAAATGCTGCCATCTAGTGAGGTAAGTCCAGATAATTTGACAACTGCAGTTTGTAAACATTGCTAATAAACACTGATGGGTCTGAGTCATAACAGCTATCACAGTGTAATTTCTTCCAACATTGCTGATCAGAAAAGCCTCACTTTCACCTGCTAAGGGGTTGTGTCCTTTTAACTGTTTCAGGCTTGGGTGTTGACAGACAGCTGGCTTGGAAGTTGAAAGCGAAGGGATTTGCACGTTGTGAAAGGAAATGACTCAAGGACCCAGCCTTGAGTTAGTGAACTAGAAGTTACACCTCAGTTTTGTTCAGTTTCCAACTGGCAATTTCTTTGATAGAATCACATACGCTCTTTTTCAATAGCCTCCACAAGGTATCATGGTCTTTTGAGCTGCCAGGTCTGTTTTGAATGATCTGTTTGTTTATCCTTCAGCTGAATGTACTGCGGGCTCCTTACAACTATTTTCCTCTCTATATTTCAGGTAGAACAAGTTAGCCAGTTGGCTGTGTTTGTAGAAGCAGCACTAGATTACCATAAACAATCCACAGAAATTCTGGAGGATCTGCAGAGCAAGCTGCAAAACCGGTAAGGCTGAACCCATCGGAGAATTTTGAACCCCTTTTGGAGCTGAGGTTCTTGAATGTGAAAAGTCATTGAAGCAACAGATCTTGCAGCACCATCTCACAGGTGCACACTTGCTGTGCTCTGTGCCTTGCTGGACTTCATTGCTTTAAACCGTTGCCACCTGGCAACTTCTTGCTGCACTGTGAGCCTTTAATGTAATGCAGGATCTGCCCAGAAAGCTTTTGAGTGTGTGCAGAATCTCTCACATCTGCAGAGGTTAATCAGGACAGCCCCCATTTGTTTGTAGGTTTACTTAAACCTGCATACTTTGAGTTGTGTTTTGGAGGCTTTGCTGAGAAGTTGGCCTATTTTCATTGAGATTAAGGGATATAACAAAATTCTGCAGCAGAGTAAGGAAATATCCAGCTGACTGCGAACGCAGCTGTGGTGTAATGCACTCATGAAAGGCCCAGATACTCTGTGTCATCCTAGTAGAAGAAAAAAAATGCTGCTGCCATTAATTTGTTTTATGTCACTCAAGAGAACCAGCAGAGAGCAGGAGACCTAAATGACTTGAGTGTCGCCATAGTGTAGGCTAACATTACAATTGCAGAATCCAGGCAACTTTTTGGGGCCTTGCTGAGATCAGGGTGGATGTGGTGGGCTGTGAGTATTAGCATAGGGGTAGCTGAGTCTGTAGACGCCCTGCACCATCCAAGCTGGAGGGGCCAGTTGTGCTGACCAAATGGTTGTTTCGCATTTTCTCTAATAAAAAGGCAATGTGTGAGATGCAGTCCCTGGGCCTCTGTCCTGGCTGGGTTTCTGCATATGTCATTTGCAGTTGAGCTTTCCAGAGAGCTCATTCCTGGAACTTCTGCTGAACTCAGTGGCAGCTGTGGATGCTCAGCACTTCTCATAAAGCTGTTAAGCTTTATGCCTCTGTCAGCAGGACCAAAGCGTTAAAGAAAATAGGGACTTGCTGAAATTCAAATACTGCATGAAAATTTAGCAGCTTTTAGTGAATAAATCTGCCCTCCCCCCTCGCCCCCCCCCCCAAAAAAAAGCGCATAAAACCAAAACCAGCAGAAGTTTCCCCCCCCCAACTTTCAAACACCAAAGCACTGAACCTGAGTGGAAGCTCCAAAAGTATTTCTTCCTTCAAGTAAATCTCTTGCCACTCTTCTCTGTGTTCCAGAATAAATGTAGCATCTAGTCGGCCTAAACGTGAATTTAAGCCAAAGCCTGTAATAACTACAACTCTGGAAACTGGTGATAATCAGCAGCACAACGGGATTGCCTATAGTTCTTCCATAAAGCCATCAGGTAAGTCTGTGGCTACAGAATTAACATATTGATAGATGTTTTGCCAGATTGTTGCTTGAGGTATTCCTTGTACCGTGAGAACGATGGATCCACGAAGCATCAGTATCCATGCATCTGATTCCAGTTTGTTTCCCAGATTTGGAAATGTAATTGTGAGGTAGGGTTCCTCTCAACAATCTCACGCTCATCTGAAATTTAGGTGTGGCATTCTGCTTGGTCTTTTAGGTTCTCTGTATTGCCACTGAGGGTGGGAGGAGAGTGAGGGAGAGGCACTTGCAGAAAACAGTTCATTTCTTGCAAAGACAGATGCCTAAGGTGGGTGTGTTAGATCATTGGCTAGAATATCTCTGGATGCTAATTTCTCTCCACAGTCTGAGACCATAAATTATCAGTACAGGATCTATTAGCCATGTAAAATTCAGAGAGATGACTCCCACCCTTACTGATTTTATTAACATATTTTACTTTACTGTCCCCTAAAGTATGCACCAAACTGTGTGTATTTATGAAGTACTTAGGTACCTATTGGTGTGGGAGTAGGATCCCTTCCTTTGATTAGGCCCTGATTCCACAAAAAAAATCAGCTGTTGAAAGCCCTTGAAAGTTGTGTGAATTCTAATAATTAGTAAGGTTAGAGTACTCATCGAAATAGCTTTTTCTCATCTCGTGAATAAAATTATTTTTCCCTGTCTCTTTAATGGCTACAGTGGTGATGAGAGAAGACCAATTTAAAAAACAAAACAAAACAAAACCAAAACAAAACCAAAACCACAACCCCTCACAAAAGACAACAATATGCAAAGAAAAGAGAATGAAAAAGCCAAATTTTTCCATAAACGTTTTTTGTAAGGGAAATAGAGGGGAAGCAGTGAGCCAGAGGTTCCCTTCTCTACTTGGCATGGTATCTAGGACCTTTTTCTAGAAGTTTTTTAATTTTTTTTTTCCTCACTCTCCAATTTCCTCTTCCTTCCAGTCTTGTTCCTTTATAAAGGTTGTTGGGAGAGAAATGAGAGATTGAAAGGTGAAAGAATAAAGCTTGGAGCTGTAACTTCATGCTTCTTCTAATGTCTCTTTAATTTTCTTGCACTCTGCTACAAGATGAACCTATTATACTGAATCCATACTGAAGGGAATTTGCAGCAGTTTGGCAGCATAAGAGATCTTACTCCTCAATTTGTTTCTTTGTGCAGGTTTTGGCTGGGATAGGGTTCATTTTCTTCCTAGTAGCTCGTATGGGTCTGTGTTTTGGATTTGTGCTGGAAACAAGTTGATAACCCAGGGATATTTTAGTTACTGCTGAGCAGTGCTTGCACAGAGCCAAGGCCTCTTCTGCTCCTCACCCCACCAGTGAGCGGCTGGGGGGCACAAGAAGCTGGGAGGGGGCACAGCCAGGACAGCTGACCCCAACTGACCCAAGGAATATCCCACACCATATGATGTTATGCTCAGCATGCAAAGCTGGGGGAAGAAGAAGGAAGGGGGACATTCAGAGTTAACGGTGTGTTGTCTTGTTATGCGTGATGGAGCCCTGCTTTCCTGGGGAAGGCTGAGCGCCTGCCTGCCAGTGGGAAGGAGTGCATGAATTCCTTGTTTTGCTTTGCTTGCATGCGTGGCTTTTTCTTTAGTTATTAAACTATCTTTATCTCAACCCATGAGTTTCCTCACTTTTGCACTTCTGATTCTCTCCCCCATCCCATCCGGGGGAGTGAGTGAGCGGCTGCATGGGGCTTAGTTGCCGGCTGGGATTAAACTGCAACAGTGCTTCAGGCTGCCTGAGGGTGTGTTAGTGAAGGTCCCCATGCTGCCTGAATGCTAAGAGCAGTTTTGTGTTGCTGTCAAATGTGGGATTGAGGGAGACAACCCCCTCTTTGCACATTCCTCTCAATTCAGACCACCGGTTCCTAAGACATGTGATGCAAGGACACATTTCATGCAAAGCACTGGGGATGTTTGCAGCAATTAATAACTTTCTAGTTATTTTCACAGCACATCTGGATGAAAGTAGCAAAAACATAGCAAGCTTTATTAAAAATTCAGCATAAAATTTCTAGGCCCCTATCAATTACTTGTCAAGTTATAGGCTTTATTTTTTCTGCTTTGCATGTGCAGTGGCAAAAGGAGATTCAGATTCAGCATTTGTATATAAACTGGTGTGTCAAACCAGAGACAAAACAGCACACATATTACAGTGGTTTATCATTGCCGTGAAGCAATTGATCTAAGACGTCCTTTAAGAGTAATCAGTCCTGCCTTTGGGAGAAAGACAGACTGGATGACTTTTCAAGTTTGCTTCCAGCCCACTTAGGTTAAAATAAATAAAAAAAAAAGCTAGTTTTAATGAGCTAAAATTCAGTGAATGAGCTGAAAAATACATGACCACTGATCACTAAAATAAGGAAGGAATGAGCCACTTCTATTCATTGATTCCATTCATGGACTATTGCATCAACTGCTTGCATGTCACTAAATGATGGGTTTTCACTTACTCCTTGGCTCACTCAGTGCTGTCAGAATGGAATAGAAATAAACCAACCATGAAAAAGATGAAAAGGAGAAACGGGATACATTTAATAATTGTTGCTATGCTTAGTGTCGCTAATAATATCAGAAAGACCATCTATCATGTTTTTTTCCTCCTGAAGAAGCTATGGATGCTGTATAGCTCCCCAGCAGGTGCAAACATCTTCTTTCTCTTCCTATTCCATACTCAAAAGTTATCCATGTGGATTTCTGTAGAGCTGCAGAGGGGTCAATATACCCTGCTTGTAAATGGGGAAAGCCTTTCTGTTCTTGTTTAAAATCAGAATCGTGAAAAAGATTAGATTCATGATCTGTGTTTTAGAAATGTGAACCAAGCAGCTCTAAGCAAAACTGCTAACTGTTTTAAGGTCTCCATGTGATAGGGGGGATAGCATCATAATCACCCTCTTTTTCTGTTTAGAAAACTGACCTCTTTATCTTACACCAACAAGCGCTCCCATGCTTAATTTCCCCTGTTTACACATTGACCCTATCAAAACATAAACCTTTAATTTCTCTGATGCTATCACTCAAGGTAGGTAGTATCTTAGTATCCAGTGAACCCATGGAAATCAACAGGCCAGTTCAAAGCAAGCTGGGATACATTCAGCACAGCTACTACAGTCCCATTCTGAGTGTTGAAATGGCTTTTCCTGTGTTTCACCATAGCTTTTCAAATAAAGGATCAGCTTCTTGGAGCGGAAAGAGTATTTTCCTTTGTACAGTTCCTAACACATCGGGATTATTTACTACTAATGACTTGCACACATTTGCTTTGCTAGATTCACAGAAACCTCATTTTAATGTTGTGAATTATTTAGCTGGTTTGATTAAGCACAGATAACAAATTTGTGCTTTTGTTCTAATTCATTGTTATCCTCGTTAATCAGCTGAGGCTATGAGCATCATCTGGCTCATTTCAGAACTCTGTAAAAGCTGTGTTACGTCATGCCTTTCATTCATTTGTCAGCCTTGCCTATGATATGAAATAAATGGGTCTGGTTGCCACGTGATGGAATGTAACATAGGCATCTAAATGTTTACTCACTTCAGCTATGAGGGAGACTGGGATTAATTATTTTAGCAAGCTTCCAGTTTGTGATTATTAAAGTATAATTTTGCTACCATATGTTTGTGTGTAGAAGACAGAGTAGATGCAGGTACAGGCAGTAACTTCCTTTGGGGATAACGAACAAGCAGACAGAAAACCAAACCAGTGTTGAATGGCATTCTGATTTATTCTGTAACACTACAGAAATCATAGACAGCTTCTTGCTCAGCCTGTTTTTTGCTAGTTTTTTCCCATTTGTGCTCTTCAGGTTTGAGCGGTCTGGAGATTAATGGCAAGTCATCTTTGAATGTGACAGTGAAGCGTGGCAGTTCAGCTCCATAACTGGAGAAATTCAGGAGGCGTGCATCGTGTTGCAAATTAACATAAACCCCATTTGCAGAAAAAAAGAGTGCCATTTCTTTAGCTTAAACCTCTGCAACAGGAAAGGATGTGCAAGTATTCAATAGACAGGAAAAGACTGGAATCATGTTGCCAATTTTGTGATGTTAAACAGTGTGTTGCTGACTGTCAGGCAGTGCTGCCCCCGTTACCTTTGTTAGGGAAGCTTTGTCTCATTGGATTATGCAGTAGCAGCAGCTGCCTGACTCTGATGAAGATTTTGACTGATCCTATGGCCTGGAGAGAAACTGGTTGTACTGGCTGTGACCATTTGTTAAAGATCTTTCCAGGCTGCCAGACATTTCTTTTTAGTTCTTTGGAGCTTAAAATGAACCAAATGTGATCCATCTCATATCAGGTACCTTACTGTCAGAAATTAACTGGCTTGCAATAATAAATGAGGCCCATCAGAGCAGCTGGTGAAAGCAGGGAGCTTTGTCAGTTATTCAGAGCGCTGCCTTCTGCTCTTGACATTTCCAGTGAGCTGGTACCAGTTCCACCTTGGCAAAGACTGAAAATAACTCAGCTGGTTTTGAACACAGTTGGTCCATTTTTGCTGGGAAGCTGTGGCTCATCTTCTTTTTTTCTGCTTGGACTGTTTCAGCAAAAATATGTCCAGAACCAAGCTTTCACCTGTGCCATTGTATTAGACTAGCCATAATTCCGTTCGTTCTTGTAAAACTTTTGTCACTACCCCGTGCCTGCAGCAGGCAGAGGGCTAGCCTGGCGTTGCTACAGCCGTGTTCCGGGGAGGTTTGCTGGGGGGATCTCTGTGTTGACAGCTCTCTTCCATTGTTATAAATAAAAGCTCTCTTCTATTTTTATAAAGGATAAAACATACCCACAAAATAGAAAAGTAATTCCTACTTCCCAGTTTTGACACCAAGTATTACCCCCGATTGTATTATTGTCAATTAAAAAGATGCTTTCTCCTGTTCCCATTTACTGATCACCAGAATAGTTGTCAGCTACTTTCTTTAAGAGACTTCTCCGTATTCCTTTTACTAGAAAATGCCTGAACAGTTACTTTTCAATAGTTTCATACACAACACCATGGTCAGCAGATTAAAATGCATCTTTGCATGGATTCTTAAGATCTTAGCTGTCATATCTGTACTGCATTACCAATCGTGTGCAGATTTACCCAGGCAAAAATTATTCTTCAAGGTGATTGCATGATTAGCACGTGTGATAGCTGGGAGAGAGAGAGTCAAGACTGGAGTATTTGAGAATTGTTGCAATGTTGCAAATAAGATGACCTGAATAACTTAGTATTTAAGAGGTTTAACTGCTTTGATGTAGTACTAGGGTGTTCTAGAGTTGTCATGCTATACCATGTGTTTTACTACTGTTTACATGGCAGCAGCATGACATTTTTTCTCCTATTTTTCCTTTTTAAATATATTTCAAATTACCAGACTTTTACTTGGATATGCTGTATATGGTTTTGAAAATCTTTTTATGGCTGAACTTCAGTTGAACCTCTGGCTAGTCCTTGGCCATAGGGCTAAGCTTTACAATTCGAACACTAGATTACATTTTATTAGAATACGTTATTATTCATAAATATGAATGAATGTATCCATATGACAAATCCAAGCCAATTAACCCCTCTTCATGAGAATATCTTTAAAAAAGGTATCTGCATTTACAAGGTTAACTTCTTTTGCTAATGGTGATTCTGGTTTGTGCTTTAATTTATATTTACTTGTTTTCTTGTAAATATATGTATTTACTACTATGTTTGCATATGGGACCATTAATATTTTAAAAGAGTAATTTGGAATGGATATCTATATAGCAAACAGCGTAAGTCACAAGAACAGCCAAGCACTGTATCGGAGAACTGTTTTAATCTATAAAAAAGTTTGACAGGCACCATTGTTCCTAGCATAACCTTTACTTTAGTTCAGATAAAGGACTGTGTACACACGAACCTGGGGAGCAGTAACCCAGAAATGACTGTCACTGCTCAAGGGGGGTGAGGGTGGAAGCCTTCATGCAGGCAGCTGGAAGCTTTGCTCCTGCAAATGCACGTGTAGCCTGAAAATCCAGGTGGCTGCCTCCAGGCTGCAAGCATGCATTTGTAGGACTGGCCCCAAGCCCCTGCCCTCCGGGACGTCTTCACACACTAGCAGTGTGCTGCACTGCAGTTTGTTTAAATGATTACTTGTCCCTTCTCTTGCTGACTCTTCTGCTTCCTCAACTCCTACCTGTCTGATTCCTCTAGCCACCGCTCCAAAGAGATGGCACCGATTTTGGCAACTGTGATTACTCAAACTGTCAGTTTGAGATAAACATCCTTTGAAAGGGAAAGCAACTAGGAAGGCAAATAGAGTAGCATCTGAACTTAAGGGAGGAACAGAACTATGCTTTAAACTAATCATCACTAGTAGTATTTTTTAAATAAAGAAGGATCAGGTGTTTGTTAATGGGTGAGAGCAGTGGGGGAAGAAACTGTTGGGGGGCAATTCGTGACAACAGGGCTACATGTTCTGGCCCATTGTTTTGTGAAGCTCTATTAATACGGGTTTGTTCTGTGTTTTTTTTCCTGTCACTGCGGCAGGTTCTTCAATGCACATGGATCAGCCTTGCTGCCAAGCTCTCTATGACTTTGAGCCAGAAAACGAAGGCGAGCTTGGGTTTAAGGAAGGGGACATCATAACTTTGACCAATCAGATTGATGAGAATTGGTATGAGGGGATGTTAAATGGAGAGTCTGGCTTCTTCCCCATTAATTATGTTGAAGTGATGGTTCCCTTGCCTCAGTGATCGTGTCATTCAAGCTGTGAACGTGATTTCATGACTGAAATGGATTCACAAATGTTCTGTCAGTGTGGCATTCTGTGAAAGCCTTGCTATTTGACTGACTTACTGACTTTTGTATGCGTCTTTTTAAAATGTATTTATTTTATATTCAAGAAAATTTTACCTTCCCTGACTCCATCAACCTGCAAAAAAACCCATACCCAGTTTTTTTGCTTTGTGCCTTGAAGATCACTGTATGAAGTGTTTACTGGTAGCTCACTGTTGCTCCAAAAATGCATTTCCTTGCTATTATTGTACGTGGATTTTTTTTTTTATCTTTGGCTGCAATGATTTTACTATTGAAAACCATTTTTAAAAGTACTGTAAGTGAAGCTAACTGTAACCAGTTCCTAAGTTACTGATGTCATTGAGCTCTTTTCATCTATCGCACTGTAATTTATTGTGAGCAAGTTAATCCATGTTTCACATCGTACGTGTACAAAAGGCAAAGTGGTGGTTGTCAATACTATGATGTTGTTGTACTAAGTACAAGTTCTCAGCATTGAAAATTCCTATAATTTACTGACCAAACTGAATAAATATTTCTGTGGAATAAGAACAGTGGTTGCTGCTTCTATTCCTATAGTTCTAGCATTTGTTTTTGAGCTGGAGGTCACTTTTGCTAAATATATCACCTTTCAGTGTAGAAAACAATGCTGCATTAAAAAATGCATGAGTACAGCCAAAGTATTAATTTTATGACACCTCAGCCACTGGAATTTTAATAATCTTGCTCTCTCCCTACTGATTGCGTAGCATTTATAATGTCTGTTAAACTTTTCTTCTAGCAGGAGGATAAGAGAAAAATTCCTTTGAACTAGGTCCAAACTGATCCTAGCTCCACAGGGTTCATACAGAACTCCATTGAGATAAGGAGGTGAGTATCACTGGTGACTACTGCAACAAATGAAAAGTCAATACACTTCTACTTTTTTTTATTTATTTGAGAGGGATGGAGAAGGAGGAGAAAAAGCAGACCAGGGGGAGAAGGAAAGACACGCTGTAACTAAAAATATGTTAAAAAAAAAAAAAAAAAAGGCCTCAAAACAAAGGCCAGACAGATAGTCTAAGTACTATCCAAATGAAGACAGAATTAATATGTTTTTCTGTTAGCCTTCTACTGTGCTTAGTAAATGCAGATGTAGTAGTGACCAAAAAATTCAGCAGCCCCAGAGGAACACTTAATCTTTTGCCCATCGCTCTCGCTACAAGCAGAGTGCTGAGAAGGGAGCTGAACTCTTTATGGGCTAACTGGCTTGAATCCAGCTTCAGAGTTTCAAGCTCTACTTGGTTCTGTAGTCCAGTTGAAACAGCATTCCCTAGAGAGGAAAGAATTTTACATGTATTACAGGTGCAATAATTTTTCCATCTAAGAAGCATAAATAGCCCCTAACTGGCTACCAAAACCACAGCTTTCTGGTTTTTCTCATCTCTGGCCTTGGCTTGTGCAACATTCACAAGAGATGTAGACGGTTATTCTTTGCAGCTTTGGCTACAGCCTACTACATCAGGGCACATCATCTCAGCATTTGGACTTGCTGACATAAAGAAGAAAATTCTTCAGCCCTTTTCCAAATTCATGGGCAAGTACCTAGTAGTTATTAGAGCAGCAATATGGAAAGTAGATTGTCCTGACCTAGTTTTTCAATGAACATAGCTGTGATGTTCTGAATACAAAATGTATGGGACAACTTTCAAAGGTTTAAACGTTTAGGACCCACAGCTGCTTTTGCTTTTTCCCCTCTTTATCAGAGGTCTCACCAGTCATATGCTTTCCATAGCAGACAAGAAAAGAGGCATTGAAATCCCTGTTTTACCTCACCAGAATTCCCTAGAGGAAGGAATTATACAGGCACACGTGTGCACAAAGACATATATAAAAAGGTTTGAATTCTCAGTACAATTTGCGGTAGGCAGCTTGCCATTTAGCACAGCGCTCCTGATCAGCTGCAATAGCTATTGCAAAAATAGAAAGCTGGAAGCAAGGCAGGAGAGCTGTACTGGTATCGATTAGGATGAAGTATATAGAGAGCTCACAGGAAACCAACCATCTTTAAGGTTTGCTACCAGGAAGATAATTTGCACAACAGAATCCATTGCACAGCAGAGAATTCTTTCATATGTGCCACCTTAAGATTCCGAACTAAGAACAAGCTTCATAAACTGCCTAGTGGGTTGTGGAGGTAAGTGCAAGTAGCTTGGACCACTGATGGTGTTACCAAACAGCATCCTCTACCACTGCTATTTCCTATCAAGACTTGTGCACCAGTTCAGATCCATCATGGCTGTTCCCTAATACTACCCCTCCCTCGTGCTATGAAAAGGTTTCATTTGAAATACTAAAGGTTCCTCTTAAGTTCATAGCAGTTCAGGTTTATTTGAAGAACTGAGTGGATGATAAACAGGGCAGCACAGTATTTCTGAAGGTTTCTTCATTCTGCAGGGAATCTTCCCTAAACTCACCCATTTTATTGCTTCAGAGTCTTTTGAGCCACTCAAATAAGGTCAACAAACAAACAGAACTTTATTATTTAACCTGCAAATATTAAAGTCCAAGACTGCTTTTATATACATGAAAAATACCTTTAATAGTTAAAAAAGTTTAAGAAATAAATATAGCAAGGTAATAGCAGCAGCTATTTCGATGTGGGCAATAAGGTACAACAAGAATTCAGAACTGCTAAAATGCAAGTATTAAACCAGCATCTACTCCTGATGCCTCAAAACTAAAATTTTTAAATAACTTAAGAGAGTTTAAGCTAGTATAAGGAAAGCCTCACCTTAACAACTGCATCCTAACACAGAACAGGTCTTAAATTCAGAACTGAATACTTCAGCAAGGTAAGAGGCAGTCAAAAAATTATTCCAACATTTGGAGAAATTTGCTATTTCAGCTACTCCCCTCCCCTCCCGCTCTTAAAGAGAAGCATACTTTATGTGGCTTGTCAAGGTCCTTTCTTTACCGCAGAGCCAGCAGGTAAGCATTTTAGTAAAAACAGGCTCAGAATAATTAAATGCAGTGGCCCCAGAGGCCAACAGCCTGGTTTTTCTGAGGGTTATAGGTCAGGCTTCAGGCCTCACATGGACTACAGAGCTTAAAGTTACAGTCAGTTACATACTGGCCAATACAGCACCTCCCCAGCTCCCCATTAGACATACACAAAGCAGTACTGCAGACTGCGCAGAGATGGAGTAGTACATAAGGACTCAAAGAGCAGTTATTTTTGATGTACCTTTTACTACAGTTGGTGCTTTCTAGTTTTGATTTTTGTTTCAGCATGGATTTTTTTCTAGCCCCATAGAAAACTGGTCTGTTGGGACGACTCAAACAGTGCTCATATTGCTAGTTACAGTACCTCCTCTGTTGGAATGAGATGCTTTTTCACATTTATAGGATACATCTGTCCAAGTTAAGGTTGACACAGCTCTGCTGTGATATACTGTATCTAGGAAAATACAGTAGTGAAACTGGTAGATTTCCAGGTGCTACAATACAGAAACAGTACATTTAATAACAGACAAGAATATTTTTTACAGCTTGCTTTTAATTTTAAAATGTTTCATTCTAGAAAGTTCTCTAGCAAGTGATCTAGACCAGTTTCATACATTTCAGCATCACGATCAGAGCAGGAAATGTTTCAGACTCTCGGCACTCTTCAAGGTAATGTTTTACTTCAACCAAGTTCAGGCTTGCTCAAGGTGCAAGCTAGGATGTGACCTGGCCCATGTAGTTTCCCACTCAGGCTTGAAACAGAAATTACCTCTGGAAAAACACCGTATCAGAATATTGAGAAAGCCGAGGTAGCCTCATGCTTATTGTCAGGTATTTGGCATCCTTCAAGGGCATATGTTCAGAAGTTTTGTAAAATGTGTACCCTCCTCTGTTTTAGCAGGTCATGGAAACCAGATCCTTGTGTAAAGTAAAAATAACTTGAGATGGAGCTTGTATTCTACTGCTCTTTATATCGGTGAATCCAAGGACAGGGTCCAGTATCAGAAGGTAGGAAATTTCATCATGTTATGGACAATGTTTCTTACAAAGAGGTCAGATGGGAAGTGTGAATTCCAAGTTTCACATATTGCAGAAGGTACCAAAACACACGTAGTCTATGTCACCTGGGATTAAGTCTTTGTCCACATTACATGATAAAACAGCTAGGATCTTCATTTTGCTGCAGAAATAAAACATCAAGACATTAGGCTAATTAGCATGTGTACAAACAGTATTTATTGCTGGTTACCTACCTGATCCTCAGATAGGTGTGTGGGGGGGGTTGTAGATTTAGTTACTTTATTAATAAAGCAAAGCAGATTTTCAAAAGATGCAGTACCTTGACTATACTAGGTAGTTTGGGGGTAGGGGGAGAGAAAACAAGTTTTTAAGAATTTGAGTTCATGCAATACATGAGCCTTTGTCTTCCTTACTGACAGGCTATCAAGCTATCCATCAGTACCTCAGTTCTGAAGCATCAAAACTTAACCCACATGCAGACCCATGCTACCCTAGTTAGGATGGTAAAAGCAGAAGCAAAACCCATGGAAACCCTGTCTTCCTTTAAAGCACAGCATGCTTTCTTTTTGTCATTTTACTGCATGCAAGAAGTTTATTTTTTACTAAGCTGCCTTTATTTGGCACTACCAATGCAGCAGAAGCATATAGGTACTACTGACAAAAGTTTGACAGGAATTCAGACAGGACTGACATTAACATTTGAGCAGGAGTATTAGAATTGATTCTTAACATAAGTGGCACACAACTGTATTGTAAAGTTGCTGATAAAACAGATTAGAAGTGTAAGGAAAAAAGTTACTTTTGCTTTCCATCACTGACTGCCAAACAGGCCATATTATTAGTCAATTCAAATAAAGGGCCTTAAAAAAAAATCTTGAGGAGGACCCTACTCTGAACATAAGCAGCAGCTTGTATCAGTAACTCTCTTTACAAGCCTAAAGCTTCCACTGGTGTTACTTCAGCCATTTTGGTGTATGCTGTGCATTAAGACCCCAGAGGCCAGACTAGTCTTACAGAAGCTCTCAATAGCCTATTTAATAGGGTCTCACCCTCCTTCAGTGAGAGACTGAAAATATTACAAGAATGTGCATGTAAGTCAGGAGACTTTGATAAACATCCTTTAAGCCAGATGGTATTATTATAATTAGATATTTACCCAGATTTTCCATTTGAAAGAAGGACAAGGAAAAAGCCAAGCAGCAGCAGTAACTGCCTGTTCTTTCTAGGTACATTTTTTTCAGAAAGACAGTACTAAGGTGCTTTTAAGTTTTCAGACAGGTATATTATGAAAATATCTAGGAAATGGTGGTGGCTTTAAGACCTGGTGCAGTAAGATGCAAGTCCTCTTTGTGGCTGTGTAGGATCAGTTTTAGCAAGAGCTGTGGTAGCTCAGCATGCTGTGTCAATGGGAGGAAGAGAATGAATTTTTAGCTAGGCATCTCCTGGCACTTTGTCCCTTGGCGTCTGTACTAGCAAAGAGGACTTGGTGCTATTTCAAGTCAAGAAACAAGCCAACTCGAGTCAAGTACAGTCCATAATTGTTCAGTTATGACCAATTTAAAGGCCCTTAAAGACTACTTCAGCTATTAAAGATACCTGACTACTAGTATATCAAAGTACACTAGCAGCATCCAATATGCAGAAGTTCAGACTTGCAATATGGTCAGTCAAAAGCCATTTGGAGGCTTAGAGAGTCTTTCACAGGGCATTACCACACGTAAGTTGTAGCCAAAAGGTTGTAAGTATATCTAAGGCAAAACATACTTATTCTGTTTGACCATGTCCTGTTTGACTATGTTAATTCCATTCCATCATTACCTGCATCTGTGCTGAAGTTCCACTTGGAAAATATCAAAGGGAGTATTTATGACTGAAGCAAGGCTGAGATTCTTATTTTGCTGTGCAAAATAAGAAAAAGTAGTTTCTGGAAGTGAGCTGGAACAGAAGTGCCTCAAACTCATGCTTGAGTTTAAGAGGGACTTAGGCAATCAATACACTAGGAGCTTTGATTTCAGCCTTTTAATACTTCTGAATGGAAATACTAGGTTTCTTCAGTGTGAATTTAAGTTATCTTAAGAGCAAGTCAGGGACACTGTTTGGAGTCACTTCATCCCACAGAAATAAGGTATTTCTAGTTTTTGCATTCTGTTCTTCGGGTAACAGCTTTTAAGTTTATTCATAGTCAGGTATTTACATGGAACAGACATTAAAGCTGGTATTGTTCAGTGTGTCAGTAATAAGAGACCAAACAATTAATGCTACTAATTTGATCATATTCAACCAAAGAATAAGCAAAACATCAATTCTACTTCTGATGCAAAGCCATGCAAGCTACATCCTACATGGGACAGGAGACTGCAGCACTATTAATGAAGCAAGTTATTTTTTAATGAGATGACAAGCATGATTCTCACCATCTCACCTGCTTAAGGATGCTCACAGGAACCACTATCATGAAACCAAACAACATTTCTTTTTTCTTCTTCTTTTAGTCTGACATCAAGAAAAATGTTTAGAGTTGTAGGATATGGATAGTACTTGAGGAAGTATTTTCATACAGTAATAAAAAGAAATGGCCATTGAATGATTCTCTTGATAGCATGTATTTAAACTTCAGGCAGCTTACCTGAGATGGAAACCCTATTTCACTTCCAGTTATTTCTTCATAATCCTCATCTTGCTCACTGCTTTCTTCTCCTTTGGGTACATGCATTATCTTCCTCTCTGCAAGTTCCTAGAATACAATCAAGTTGCCACCAAGAACCCTCACAAATTAAGCACATCAAGTAAGTTTAGTATTGGGACAGTAGAAGCTATTGACTATCACGCTTACCTCACCATCATCTGTGATGAGTGTGACACCAATATTATCCCCAGTTCCCCAAGACTTCTGAGACTTCCAGACCAGATCGGTAGGGCCTGGGCTTACACCAGCAGCTGCACCCCAGATCTGCAACAAATTTAGAGTGAGCTTCTGAAGAATCTTATTTGTAGTTAGATTAGAATTCAGTCTAACATATCCAACTCTGAAGTACTCCAATACCAAAGATGGCTAGTAACAAACTGAACTACTGTGATCCCTGGCTAGTTAGTTCTTTTCATGATTACCAAGAATGGTGGTAATGTTTTTTTAACTAAAAACTGTAAAACAGTTAGTGCATAAAAGTTTATTAACAGCTTCTACTTGATATAGAGGTAGCCTTGCTTGGATATACGATACTATTTGAGTCACAGAGCCAAGCCATAGTTACAGACATACAGCAGCCACTTGTGTATACAAGATAGCCTCTAGCCTGGGGTCACTCACAGATCTCCTGAGCAAGCTTGTACAGAGTTTGGAGTGCAGAGTGTAGAATTAGGTTCTTTGATCACTGTCTAAATGTACTTAAGAGTATGATTATAGACCGAATATTTGGCTTAGTACCATAAACTGTGAGCTCAGCATTGCTGAATTGTAGTGAACTAAAGCTTTTAGCAACAGCGAAAGCCTTTGCACAACTTGTATCAAATCTCAGGAGTATGGAGAACCCTAAGAAATTAACAGAATCAACATATTCTTGTTTAAACAACAGCACATCCCAATCTGGGATGATACAAGTTCAGTCCAAGATCTAGCTTTAAAGAAAATTTAATCGGCATTTCAGATCAAGTTGTTGCAAGAATTTTTCCCCCCCTCATCTTCCTCTCCACATAAGATAAGGATTTTAGTTCTTTAGGTACTTACAGTATCAATTTAGTTTCCCTTATTACACAAATCTCTATTGCCATCTAACGTAACAAGAATAGAGCTCTGAGTAAGTTTTACAAAACCACTACCTACTGTAACTACTTGGCCCGCCTGAAGAGTGAACAGTGAAGGAAATTTGTACGTTACATCTGACACATTTCCAAGATGTCTTCTTAACACCCATCCATGTAGTGGTTGATCCTGTGGGACAAGAAACTTCTCTCAGCATTAGACTAACACCGTATTATGCAAGTGCAACGTTCTTTCCAGTCTCAAGGATCAGTTTTAGTCCCACTGCTGTAGTGTACAACAAGAATCTGATCAATTTTGATGAAGCCTTCAAGTTTCCATTAAAGCCTCCCTATGATTTTTCTCAGTACTTCCTTAGGATTAGTCCCACAAGTTTAGGCACATCTGTTCTTGCCTTCTGTTGAAGGGGGATCATGATACTCTTTACAAGGGACATTCTAATAAATGAAGTTGGTCAGGCCCATCTACCAACTTGGACCATATATAACACCTACACAGTGGCCTGCGAAGGTTTAAGGCATCTCAGGCTGAAGTGGCTAAGCTACCAGCCACAAGTTTTGGAGCTCTGAGGGTTAATTCTAATAATTTTGGATTTGCAGATTAAACTAGTCAATGAGTTATCTAATCAGTCAGATAAACCCTCTACATAGATTAGATGCTGTCAGCTCTATTTACCCCTTTAGCCATTTTAAGCATTTCAAAGTAATAAGAAGCTCTCATTATCCAATTTACTAAGCATCTTACTTAGTTCAAGGATAAGTAGTACTTCTGAGAGTGCTAGCCTGAGTCTGATGAGAAACAACTGAAAGTGTTAGATTTCTGCATCACATAACCCAGCACACCTCCCCCCAAAAGCACCTCCCAGACATCCCTGTGAACAAAACACCTGCAGTACAAAAAAATTAAAAAAAAAAATCAGTCTTTAGTCTTCTCTTGACAGCAGCCAGGTTAGCTGAGAAGCCCCCAGTTTGTGTTAGTTTGGAAGTACTCTTCCCTCATCTCTTCATCCTTCCCTATTGTCATCTCCCACTAAGCTGCAAGTCAGTTCACAAGTAGGCATACTTTGCAGTGAAGGCCGTGCAGACTCGAATGAATAGAAGTACCTCATCAGAGTTGTTTTTAATCCTGACAAATTTTCCATCTGCATCGATTTCTTCAATAGATACATTTCCAGAAGAGGAAGCATGCTGAACAGTCTTAAATCCAGCACTGTGCCCTCGCTTTTTGGCTTCTTTCATTTTCCTTTTCTTCCCATGCAGGAACCGTCGCCCTTGACTTGTTGCTTGAGTTGCAGCACTGTGTGAAGATGGACTGGGTGACAGCTTTAGCCTAGAAGAGAGTCAGATAACATTCACTTGAATATCTGATGAGCTTATTCCTTCTTGCTCCTATCGTCCTGCTCTAGCCAAACCTAACAGCTTCTTCTATCCAAACTTTCCATGAAGTCTTGAATATAAGATTTTATTTTTACTGGCAAGAGTAGCTTGGTAGCTTGTTAAGTTTGGAAGCCAGCCCCAGCCCTAGAGTTCAGAGCAAGCTTATATTGATAAGAAAAGATTCCCAACTGCAGTAAGTATTTCTTTAAAGTCTCTACAGAGACAGTCTTTAGTGGAAGTAGTTTAAGTTTTTGACCCCTCTTAGCATGTATTGAGTTCATGTTGTTCTCTCCAGGCCATGTCTGGATAGTTAGGAGTTGATACAATCCCCTAGTTTCATTCACGGAACTTGAGCACTGTCTTTGATATATCTGTAGGATGTAGCACAAAGCTTTGAGAAAGCTTGATTCTAAGGAGAGATGTCAAATGGCCCTTTGAACTTTATCAGTTGGGCTTATCAAGTTACTTCATCTTACTACACCATGTGGTAGATGTGAGATATAAATACCATCTATAGAAGATTATGCTTCAAGAACTAAATTGTGGTGCTAATCACATTTATTTCTTGCCCCCTCCACATTCTGAAGAATATGGTTAATTAGTATAGAGATCTTTGATGAAGCAAGTCCTCATACAAGTATCTTGTCATAGCCTACCTCTGTTCCTCTCCTTCCAGCATCTTTCTGTAGGCATTTATTTCCAGATCTAGAGCCAGTTTCACATCTAAGAGATGCTCATATTCTTCCAACTGTGCTTGTGCCTGCTGCTGAGCTTGTGCCATTTCTTTCTCTTTTTCAGCCATACGCCTCCGATGGAGATCGCGATCATAATCTAGTGTCTCCTGTAGCTCCCTTATTCTGTTCTCCAAAGCAATGTTCTAAAATTAAGGGGATGGAAAAAAAAAATCAGTTAAGCTAACCAAATATGAGAGAGGAGAAGCCAGTATTTTGAAATAATTCTAAGGATATACAAATAGAGATAGTACCTGGCTTTGATACTGATTAACTTGAGATGTCAGAGCATCAACTCTCAGCTTTGTTTCCATCAGCTCCTCCCGAGCAGCATTGGCAAAGTCACTACTTCTTGCTGCAGATATCTGGGCATTCTCCATCTATGGATAAGTCACTGTTAGTAATGAGTTGCTTATGACCATATATTTTAAATAAGGAAGGAAAACCAAGTGATTTCCAGCTGTTACATCTGGAAATAGTTATGTTTTACTTAAGTGTGCAGATACCAATAAAGTCCAGGTCAGAAAGTTTTTCATTGCTTTTCAGGGAGGTTTACACAAATTTGACATTCATGTCAGAAAGTCAGCAATAATCAGGTAGTGAAAATTGCTGGATTAGGATATTTCAGTTACAGATGCATGAAGACTTCATATAGATATTAAGTAAATTGATTCTCCAGAAGAACAATGGAGAATATGTTTAGAAGCTGCTTGTCAAAGCATGGGGCTACAGGATATTAGTTGTGCTTATCAAACTATTGCTGTTCCCCAAAAGTTCTATCACCAAGCAGCTCCTGCATCACTATAGGCAGCACTGAGCTTCTTCTAGAGCAATTCAATCTTTAGTTGTTCCAACAAAGGATAAAGTAGAGCCTTGCTCCTACAAGAGGCATTAACAGAATTTCCAGTGGAAACCTGGACAGAAGCATCCAGAGGAATTCACTGAGTTGGCACAGAAGGTGGAGTATAGGGAAAGCCAGAAGAAGCAGGACAAAATGAACACATGTACTTGTTGAGAGAAGTAGCAGATCATGCAATTCTGCACCAAGTATTAATGAAGGCTTAAGATACCAATACTGTACAGCACAACCAACCCAGAAACCCCTGGAATCTTACCTTCCAAGAGTATAAGCCTAAAGTATAGTTTTTCCTGCATATGTGGCTAATGCTGGGAAAGAGGTGACAGACCAGGTCTGGAAGACAAAACGTCAAGCTACTTCCATAGCCACCCTCTCCCCCTTATCCAGTACTAGCAGCTGGAAAGGGACATTTGCACTCATACATTTTAAAAGTGCTCTTGTTGGACTGTAAGAATACCTTATTTCATACATTTTAGTAACACTATAATCAGTAGATCAAATTTTATTCAATACTGAAATTGCTCAATACAAACACAACACACCTTGGCCCTGAATTTGTCAGACAAGCTCTCAGATTTGTCAAAAGTCTGAATTATGATCAACTTTATTACATTAACCATTCCTAATCATTCCCCAAAGGGACAGTATTTACGCTTGAACCAGTTTTGTTTGGGACCAAGCGTTCATAGAAGTTCTACTGTCAAATTTGACACTGCTTCAAAATTCCATAACAACTTATGCCAAGAAGCTCTGCATTGAATGCAAGGGCTCCATCAGTCAGCTATTTATGCTAGCGTGACTTTAATCATATCAATGTGCAGAGAACTTAAGCTTTGTTTTACTGGCATCTTTTACAAACTCACTTTTGCACTGAATGTTCGCTCCAGCTCCTCTTTGTATCCTTGAATTTGTTCTTCGTGTTGTTTTCTGAGTCCCTGCAGAGCATCCGAGAGCTTACTCTCAAATTCTCTCTGACGGCCAGATTCTATTTCTGCTATCCTGCTTTCATGGACTCTTTTTGTCTCCTTGAGCTCCTGGGAGAAGAAGAAATTTCTCAGAAAATAAGCAAGCCAATTCAGTTTTATCTGAGACTGGACTTACTGTACCAGCTTAACAAGTCATTCAATATTGAAGCAGATTTATCACTGAATGCATAGTAATTAACCTTTATTCAGATCTCGGATAGTCATCCATTAGGTCAGGTACCTCCACCTTGCTCGCTGCACTGGGTTGTTTTCCTTCCTCACTGCCAACACTGCTTAAACTGACAAATGCAGTAGTTTATATTTAACTTTAAGACTAATTCCTTGAACTAGATGTATTTCTCTGCTTTGCTACTTAGAGCACATGCATATACACTTCAGTTTCTTTAAGCACTTATTTCACCTATTTTTGTTTTATTCAAAAAGTAATAGCAGTTGGTTAGAGAAATTTGAATTCTCCATTGCTTAAACCACACACTTTGAGATTCCTTCCAGTCAGAAGGCAGTTGGTTTATATCCACATGTTTTTTAGTTCTGTGAATTGACTTCTCACACAAAGGTTACCAGACACCTTTGATAAGTGTTAAGGAAGTAGGGAACATAAGTTGTTTATTAAAGTAGATTTAATTTCTTCGATTATTTTAGGTTGCTAGCAAACATCTGGAATCATTTAGCTTTAACTGTAATTGTGTAACTGAAAGTGCATATAAGTAGTATATTGGGATTGTAGTTACCTTCAGAAGTGCAGCCTGAGAAAATTATCTCATATTCCAGATACCTATTGGTACTATGCCAGTTAACATGAGGTTGTGTACTTTCTTGAAGTCTTCCTAGTTAGGTGGATTTTTTTGGCTGGTGGACTGTCATAGGTTGACTCAGCTAGTTACATTTTTAAGGATAAAGCACATCTTAACATTGCTTTTAAATGCATCCAGGGATCATGGACACCTAAAAAAAATCCTTGTTAATAAGCTAAAACATACATCTTCGTGAAGGCGCTTCTGGAACGTCATTTGTTCCTGCAAAGTTTTCATATGATTTTCCAGGTCCACCCTCCTCAACATTTCACTGTGGAGATGCTTTTTGGTATCTTCTAGTGACAGCTTTAGCTAGAAAAGACAAACATGAGGGTAATCAAAATTAGGAGGTCATTTTTCCAAACTAAGACAATAATTTTCCAAACTTACTACACGTCATTCAACTTAATTCCCACAGCAATTAAAACACACTGCTTAGGTAAAGTTGGTTACTCTCTTTAAATTCTTATTTCAGTGGGATCCAGCATATTAGCAACAGAAAGAAACCTATTTAATTATGTAGACCAGATTTCCCACAAGGCAAATACAGAGCAGCCCTTAATCCCACCAGCTGAGTTGGATTCCTCAAAGTAGATTTCTGATTAACCAACTGTACAATCCATGTACATTGCTCCCCTTCACAACACTAAGCACTCCAAACTTCTCCCTGACTTCCAATGTAATTTGTTTGATGCTTAACAAGAGAAATCCTGCAAATATAACCTATGTTGACAAACTACTATATACTTCCAGTGTTGGAGTGTGATGCTTTAATGATAAGCAAAAAACCAAAACCCCAAAGTTGCAAGTTTTCATCCTGAAGATCTGAGGTTACCTTAATCATGGTTCACATTAAAGCATGAAGATACAAAAGCTATGCTCTTAGAAATGCATTGGATAGAGTAGCAACTCAAGAAGAGTTCATTTTAGTAGCACAAGAGCCTACAAAAAAAGTATTCAGAATTTATTTATTCTACCTAGATTTAAGCATAGTGAAGCAGGGTCCATCAAATGCTCCCTTTGCTGACATGTTAGAGAATGCTACAGGGGCTATAGCAGTACAGCACATTTCAACTCACTTTGTCCTCAGAAAAAGCAGCATTACATACCCTTGTCATAGAATTTAATCAAAAGGTACCTACAACAGGTGGAAGTTTTAACAGACCAACTATCAGTAGCATTTGCCTTCAGCAAGATAGCAGAAATCTTTTTGTCTGCCTGTCATTGCCATAGATAACAGTCTGTCCCTACTTTTAAATCTCAGTAACTACTTGAGTAAAAGCAAGCAATGGCTTCAGGAACAAAAACAAAGTTGAAATTCCAGGAACAAATCTTACAGTGACTACTTGATCCTTTAATTCACGAAGGTCATTCTCCAAACTTCGGTTCTCATTCAAAGCTGTTGCTAAGTCAGCTTCCTTCGCGTTCAGCTGAGCATCAAGGTCTCTCATACGAGCCTGTGCCAGGTTTAAATCAGCTTCTTTTTTTGAATTCCTACAAGTGAAAGTTTTATACTCGTAAGTTGCAGCTGGTGAGGGAGAAAGTTTGGTTTTAACACGTTTACCTTCAGAGGGGTCTGTGGCAGAACAGGAGAGAGGTTAGTTATGGTTGGGGTGAGAGCACAGGGTAGGCTGTAAAACAAACCAGACACCTCAGGCAAGTATCATTTGTTTAATCAGAAAGATTTCTGACCCAGTTTCCAGCTCGTTTTGTGCGAATCCTATGCGGAAGCCAGCTATTTTCCACGGCATTATCACCCGGAGAGGGAAGGGACGGCACAGGCCACCGTCTCCACAGGGAGGGACCAGTCACACAGAAAGCCGAAGGTCACCAGACCAGAGTGACCCCCCACCACTGAGCAAGCTGCTCACACATGCACCGCCTTTCAGCGGGAAAAGCCGCCACCAGCCTCCTGGCAAAGTGCCTGTTGGCCACCAAAACGCACCGCTGACGTGGGGCTCGCCACCCCCCCCCGC